GGATTTGTCAGAGAAGAGCTTCAGATTGTTCCACCTAAAACTGAGCTACCTCCGGAAGGAATTCGATGAGGAGAATGCTTCATAAGCCTCTATGTGTTTTTTCTGAGATATTGTCATTAGTTTTTTCTGATGGTTCAAACGAATTTTGAGATTGTCTTGAGAATCAAATCTCAAAATTCTTCAATTTTGCTTTGAAATAAACTGCGCCAACCATTTTGCCTCAAAAACATGTTTTTTTTTTTAAATTAGATAAAAAATGAAAAAAATCAGTTTTCAACACTGCCCTGTTTTTCAGGCAATTGTGCCAGAAACCCACTGAATAAAATCTTCAATTTTTCTTTGATTTTGCTTTGAAATAAAATGCGTCAATCATTTTGCCTGAAAAACATCGTTCTTTTTTTTAAATGAGATAAAAAATCAGTTTTCAAAATTGCCCTGTTTTTCAGGCAATTGTGCCAGAAACCCACTGAATCAAATCTTCAATTTTGCTTTTATTTTGCATTGATTTTTGAAAGAAATGACGTCATTCATTTTGCCTGAAAAACATCGTTCTTTTTTTTTAAATGAGATAAAAAATGAAAAAAATGAAAAAAATCAGTTTTCAAAATTGCCCTGTTTTTCAGGGTATTTTTTTTTGAAAAAAAAAATTGTGCCATAAACCCCCTTTTCCTACTACTACCAGAAATCTAATTATTTCAAACTTCAACATTACTAAAATGTGAAGTTAACATAAACAAAGTCAGTCTTTGATTCTACCACTCTGGTTTTCATAAGTGCAAAATCAAAAGTTTGCCACCTGAACTGATTACCTGTTGATGAATGGAGCATGTTGAGTAGACCACCCTCTTTACAGGAGGAAAGGACAAGGCATGGTTTAACACAGACAACTGAAACTTGGCAAGTGATAGAAGTCTTTCCTGCAAAATGAGAAAAAGAGCTTGCATTCACAAGGTGGTCTTTCAATGTGCAAAGCCTTTGATTTTTATTAGCACCAGCTCTTACCTCTTTGCTAGGCTTGTCTTTCCCTTCATTAATAATGCTATCCATCCTGCTGACAATACCAGACCCAGAGCATGATGGATCTACCACAATGTACTGTACTTTATTGTACTTCTTATCTAAGGGATTTACCTAGAGAAACAAGACTTCATAAGGCTATAGGAAACTGTTGATCATAGGAAATCCCATAGTGCAGAATAGTTGCTAACTGTTGCCACATCAGTTTTCATAAAGATGCGTGTACCAGACATCACTGTGGCACTAGTAGCCTGCAGTGCCGGCGTATTTTGGGCACACGAGTGCACATTTTCGTACTAGGCCGCCATCTTAGATTTGGTATTTTTCCACTTAACACCCACTCCCTCGGCAAATATTTCCTTGCCCCAATCCTCCACAGTTACCAAATCTAAGATGGCGGCCTAATACGAAAATGTGCACTTGTGCGCCCAAAATACACTGTCACTGCAGGCTATGGCACTAGCTTCAAAGAGAACTGGCAATACAGGGTGAAATATTTGGCTATTAAGAGGGGTCCTTTCTCACTCCACTAGCCTTGCAATTTAATTATTTTATAAATGCTAGGTTACTAACTTTCAGAAAACTACAGTTTGTCATCATGACACATTCCACTCCAGCTTTCTTCATCAGAGTTTGCATTACTGCTAACCTCTTTCTGTCACTGTCAAATGCAAAAATTTTCCTGACATCAAAACAGAAACACAGTTTGTTAGCAAAGCTCATGTTCAAGACTGAATAAAATCTTAAGTTCTCAAAATATAACCACGTTTAGATTAAGAGCAATCCCTCCCTTTTGGCAAACTTTGTCACATTTGTAACCAAAACTCAGCGAAAAAGAATTGATGTTGATGTGTAGTACAGAACTCTGTGAGTGAGGCGCATGAAAAGTAGACACCATCTTAGAACTGTATCTTCTCTGTACTGGTTAGCAGGGGACATTAAAGAACCCACACACTTATCGCAAAGGGAAGGGAACATAGCTCCCAGTGTTGTGGTCTGGCCTTGATTCTGATATTCTGAAATTGGGGGCATCTGCAAAAAATCCCTTCAAAAACTGTTAACTGCTAAATGCAGTCTGGCCAAAATCCCCTGCAAAGTGTTGTAGAGCACCACAAGTTAAAGGAAATCCTCATGATTATTATTATTATTAGGGTCTAACTCTCAGAGTTCTTGGGGTGTGCTACGATAAGTGTTTTTTTCCCTGATTTTTTTTTTCTTGTGATGGAATTCCCTGAGCAGGAGGAACTGCTTAGAGTGTAAACCATATTAAAGAATGTAAATAAATACAAAGAGAAAAATTACGATAAAGTGGCTATCGATGTTTACAAGAACATACCCTGTATCATTCATCAAACTCGCCACATGACTGGTTTTGTTCCCAGGAGCAGCACAGGCATCGATCACATGAGAACTGGGTGGGGCAGCTAGGACATGTGCTGGTAGGCAACTTGCCTATATTAACCAACAATATCAATTGATCACAATCCCACAAGATTTCTCCATATGGCAATTCTAATGTCAATTAAAAAGTTACCAAGCAAAATAATATTACAAATTTTAACATATTATTTTTGTTAATACTAATATCTGCAAGCTGATCTGCACTAAAACTTTCAAATCAAATCCTTTCTGGATAAAAATTGGCATCTAGCAACACTGTTTAGATAATTGTGAGTGCGGGGCATTGAGGTTTATTAATTAAGAACCACAAAATCACAGAAAAAATCATCCAAAACTGCAAAAAAAAAAAATGCAGTAAAAACTGAAAACTACATGCAAAACTATCTAAACCAATAAATTTTCACATCCCAGCTATCAAAACCCCAATTGATCCAATACAATGGTGTCAAGTGGAGCACACAGCATTTTTGTGTTTATTCAAGATCAGTTGAGGCATATAATTGCCACTCAGATTAAAGAGAAATCAAAACCCAAATAAGAAAAACAAAAAAACGACATCAGATACCGATTCCGAAAACCCATTGGTAGTTTTGACAAAAACTGAAAACCGATTGCTAAAAAACAGAAAATCTGTAAACCACAGCGAACACCAAAACTGAAAAACCAAAGCTTCATGGCACAAAACTGAAAAACCAATCTAAAATATAGCCAAAGCCTCAAAACCAAAAATATCACTGTCCCCCTCAATGGTTGAAAAGGAGCACCAAAGCCTCAGAAAAGCCTTGCTAAAACTTAAACAGATGTAGTGAATCTAGCACCTAGAATTTGTGATATTAGTTTCCGTTACTTTATCTTGAAGTATGATGTGTCCACTGACGTAAAGAGGATGATCATGCAGATCTGTTCCTGCTGGGAACACCAGGACATCTGAGAGGTGTTTGTCGCACATAAACTGCTTGTCTAAAGAATTCTTGACCTAATAACATAAAAAACACACACTTGTATAGAAAAATATAACTCAGATGGTCTTATCAGCCAAAGGAAAGGTAACATGAGAGGTGAAGTGTGTTTGTACAGGTTAAGAAAGCCCCCCTTAAAGAGATACAATTTATTGATAGTACGATAACCCAAGCAAAAGAGTCCATCAGATTCAAGCTCATTTAAAATTGCACCTTTATCCTTTTTCCTAAATGTTTGCTCACAAAGTAGCAAGATGTTCACCTGTGCAGCTAATGAAGCAATATCTTGTTGGTCCACTAGTTGATAACCATTATTTTCAAAATCCCTAATGACATCCTTCAGTGTTGTCTTTATCCTATTGATTCGTACATATCTTGGAATTGAGCCTAACAAAAGAAATTGCAAAAAGATCCATAACAAAAACACCACATTGTTTAGATGACAGGTGTTTGCTACCTTCCTGGGCCTACAAATTCACCTGCTAAAAATCCCTGCTAACCTGGAATAAGGAACAGATAATCAAGCAAAGCTATTCAGATACTCATTAAATTTACCTAGAATTGATCCATGAGGGCAACAAGGTGGCAGGTTAAGGAAAGATGTTGATAAATGGCTTAAAAAGCTCTAAAAATCAGCCAAGCCTGGCCAGGCCATTAGACCAAGCATGCTGCCTACTTGATTGATGTAGAACTCTTTACCTATATAATCTAACAGATAGATGTACATGTAGATACTACTAGCTTTCAGAGAGAACCAGCTTTCACTTGTGGCGTATTTAATTCACAAATCACATTCAGTTTTATTCAAAAAGCTTTAGTTAAAAAGTTAGAAAAAATTAGGAGAGCATCACTGATGAAAAAAAGAGTAAAACTGCCTCCAACAGTGGTTTACATGAAATCAATACACTCACTTGAAATGTCTCATATCTTAAATTATGATTTATTATGAAGATGTTTTCAAGTATTAGAAATAAAAAAAAGTTTCTCAACCCTTTTCACATAGCTTTACCTGATTGTTCTTCCTAATTGCTACCCCAATAGAGTTGTAAATACCCCATCAAGGGGTAGGGTATGAAGATTTCTACAATTGCACATTATTGAGTGGTTATCTTCCATCTCTATAATCGCTTCCCTACCTGTCTCTAATGCAGGTTTAGGTAAAAGATCCTCATTGCAATGAACCTTGGTTCGGACCTTCAAACGTGCCAAACATGACTGAAGGGCTGATTTGTGATTCAAAATGAACTGTTTCAACTCTCCACCACATTGGATTCCTTGGCCAAACAGGAAGTCGTACACTAACACTAAGGCATGACTATGTTTGAGCTATATAATGGAAAACACAAGTATTAACCCTTTACTTCCCAGAAGTGATTAACTTTTAAATTCTCCCTAAGATATCTCATACATCATTCCACATTCATGTGATGAGAATACGCAAACCTATCAGATAGAAGTTGTTATCTTGATCTGATACCAAAATTCATGTGACTAATTGATAGGGAAATGTGTTGCAGTTAAAGGAGATGATTAAAAATCAGATCTCAGGAGTTAAGGGGGTAACTTGGATAGACAATTTGAACAGTGTTATAAATCATAACTGTCTATTAAATATTACAGAATGTATCTTAATCTTCAAGTCCCAGAGATGATCAACATGTTTCTTCTTCTTAATTATAGTATCCATATATTATCCAGCAAAAAGGTAATGGGTATATTCAAACTCATCAGATAGAAGTTGTTATACTGTTCTAACACCAAATTCTCATTACTTATTTACATGGAAATGTCTAGCAGCTGGAAGGGAGAATTAAAAATTGGCTCTTGGGAGTTACGTTAAGAGTTAAAGGACCCTTTGTCATTGATACTATCATTAGTCATTACAAAAAAATAATTGTCCTCATATATTTAATAGAGATAGTTTGACAAGCCACATCTATTCCACCAAATAACCTTCATGGCATAATTTAGTGTTTATCTTTACGTCAGCAATTCTCAAAAATTATAACCACAATTAACACACCTTTTTCTCAAGTTTTAGAAGTCTTGTTTGTTCAAAGATATCTTCCAAAATCCCTCTGTCTAAACAGAAAGGAACACAATTGATCTCTGAATCGAAACACAGCATTGATTTCTCATAAGGAGAACTGAAAAATGGTAAACACGAGGGACACTTAGAATAACATAAAGATTCTCCCATAAACGGTTTAAAAGAAGAGTTTAAGTACATCTCAAACTTGCGAGATTGACCATGAATACTAATAATTCTAGTACTTCATTTACAAAAAGATTTGAGAAAAAAATATATTCTTAGTATGTTAGAAACTCACATTTTAGTGTTTCACACACCAACGCGTAAAGCTTCTTCTTCTTGGGAAATCGACTGTTGATAACCAAGTTCTTAGCAGTGCCTTGTTTCTTTGTAACTTTATCTACAATTTGTGCGGCGCACGAGTACAGCGCCGCCATCTTGTAAATAGCGCGGGCTAGTAAACTTGTCATGTAAGACAAGCGAGGAGTAACTTGGTAAGGTATGTCATACACGCACTTTGATTGGTTCTTACTTATGATCTTGGAGAACAGACACAAAGACGACGTCAACATTAACAAAATTCTGCTTCCTTGATATGAACAACGATTAGATTCCATGATACCGTGCGGTCGTTCAGTAAAAGATCAGAATAGACTTCAACACTCTGCTGCGCCTTGTTTTGCCACTTAACTTTTTTGTTCTTATTACATCAAAGGGAACTGCTATCGTAAAGAGTAGTTGAATTTTTTCTTTTTTTGGGGGGGGGGGTGGGGTTCAGGCATTTTAACCTCTTGTTGAGTCCGCGGGCACCCCGCCCTAACGACATCTCTTTGTCCGTGTGTGAATGTAGAAATGTCCCCCCTTCCCACCCTCCCCTGTGGATTTGATTGCAGAACACAAGCGCTTTTAGCTTCCAAGCTTAGTGTTAATTTATTCGAATATTAAAGTAACATCAATTTATTCTTTATCCTAAAGAAAGATACTTCTTCCTAACTACATTACTTTTTCACTGATAAAAAGACGCGCAACGCAAATATCTAGACTTTTTTTCCCATGGAAATGATCAAGAAAACATGTAGCTGAGGAACTTCAATATTCAGAGACTTTACGAGAATATACTCTTTAACCTAAAATCCATCTTTTCAGTTCATTGTCGATGCCCTGGTCGACCTCTCAGATATAACAAAAAACCTCTTCTCCTCTTCTTCTTGTTCAACCAGACTTCTATCTATCCTTTGCCAACTGCGCATTTAATTATTTCACATTACTGTGTTAAATTGAACAGAGATACATCTAAAGGCATAGTATTAAATATTATCAAACTGTGCAATTAATTAAATGGAATTACATACATTGATTAACAACTATGAGATTAAATTCATGCCGATCAAAAATGTTTTTTTTTTTCTCAGTATACCAATCTAAGTTGAAAAAATAATTCTACTGAGTCTACCAAATCAAATTCCCTTGGTGTTATCTTGGACCCGGATCCAAGCTTATTGATTTAACTCTCCTTTAGAAACTTGCTAGACATCTCTTAAGTTCATTTGACACAAAAGCAGGTTCTAACTTTCAAACACTGTCAAACTGGATTATAAAAGCTAGGAGCCTTAACTGAACGCCAGTACTAAAGCCAGAATCATACTTCAGCACCCACAAAGACCAAACTCAACTCCCACTTCAATCATTCTATGAAAACATTAAGAAATGCAAACAAACACACATCTTAATTACGCTAACGTTTCGAGAGTCCAAAGAAAATCTGATTATATTTACATTGCAACATCTTTCACTGAAACACGAGCTTCTTCAAGATACCACTGCTAACTAGTTATTTCTACTAAAGTTTACTATTACATGGCTGGCTTTAATCTTAAGTTGAAACCGTTTCTTTTCAATTCAAACAAATTAACTAACAAACAAGCAAAGACAGCGATGAACAACCTTATTACCAGCCACTAACACAGTCTTTCTTGTCAGTTTGTTTACCCCGAGTTAGCCATTTGTTCGTGTGTTGCAAAGAAAAGCCAATATCTGAAAAAGTCTTAATAAACGGGTTTTGAGACTCACGATTTGCCAGTTTCTCTCACTTAAGATTCACTCAGGCCCTTACTTCCCTCATAGAAAACTTTAGCCCTCTCCACTTAAGTTTTTTTCTTAACAATTTATTGCAATCCAAAATAGTTTAGAATCCCAGTGCGCTTGGATGATCTAGTGCAATACTTTCCTCGTATATTTCAACAGTGAAAGATGCAGCCTTCTGGTTCACTCTTTACCGACTGACTTTTCATTAATGCATCATTTTCATCGTGAACAGCGCAAAAAGTTAAAAGAGCAGTACATTTTCTAAACTGTATCGAACTAAAACGTTGACACACAGGAAAGTTATCATATTTCAAACAAAATAACCGTTGTCGTTAAGTCTCCACTTCACGAAATTTAAATGTGAATAAACCTAAAAAGCTTCACGATGATCTCAGTTTTAGCTTTTTAGGTAAAAATTTCAGGCGATGTTTATTAAGTCTCCGCGCAAACTGTTAATTGCTAAACGTTCTGAGATCAGGGAAGCGAACTTGTGATAAACTCTCGCTATCTGATGATAATAATTCCCCTCGGAACTCCTTAGCAACTGCACGACAAAGGTAAATAGTCACAAAATACTTTTGTTTAAACACACTAATAAACTAATCGAATTAAATATCTTGTAATTCGTGGAAGACGCTAAAAAAGTCCAGCTTTCTTTCTGAGATTTGTCTTCTTCCACATTGGCAGAGCATCAAATGCGCTTCTGGTCATGTTAAAAGGTTTCTGCAGGAAAAAGGAAAAGCAGACGTTTTTATAACCTAAAGGACGAAGGAACAAGGTGACGAACAGAAGAAGAAACAAAGGAACGAAAAGGAGGTAAGCAGGGAAGTAGGGGCGCAGGGTTGAAGGGCCGAAACCACGAAGAGACGAAGAGACGAAACGAGCAAAAGAACGGACCGAAGACGACCGAGGGGTGAAAGAAAGAAGAGACGAATTGACGACGGCAAAGTAAAATGATATAAGGAAGAAAGGACGATGTGACGAAGAGACGAAGGAAAGAGAAATTAGAAAACGAGACACCGAAAGGACAAAGTTACAAAGGAACACGGGAAAGAACGAACGAACGAACGAACGAAGACCTTATTTTCTTACCTGAAAGTCGTCAGCACTCAGATATGTCTCAAGTCTTGACGGATCAACCCCTTCAGGGGCCGGTTTTTGTTTCAGTTCTTCTAAACTGTACTCCTGCCTATAAATCAAAACACAAACACATCAACCTTCCCGTGCCAGACCGTCTGAGAATTATCTTTATCAACAACATACCTTGAGAGTTTTGCAAGTTCTGTTTCTACTTTTAACGTATCGCCTTCAGCTTTTCCGTCCTATAAGAATAACGACATCTAATCAAAACAAGTCCTTCGGATTTTTTTCCCAAAACTGTCGCAAGCATTGCAATAATTTATTTCCGAATGAATTCCATTACTACCCACCGCTATGTTTATTTTGGCCACGTCGGGTCTTTCCTCCCAAAACGGGAAAAGCAGTTTGAACGGTTTTGGTTCCAGACCAGCAAACACAATGAATACTTGAGAAAAGTCGCGCTTTAATTCTGAAAAAGACAAAAATAACATTAGAACGCATATCTATAACAATAACACGCAACGGTTCAAATTTATTTCAGATCAAAACTGTTATATCACGAGCAAATCTACTTAGTAGCCGGGGCTTCAGAAACAAGTTGCCATTGAAAACACCGGCAGCCAAGAAATCTAAAGAAAACCAATAGAACTAGATATTTCAGGGAGTTATAACTCGTACATGAAGTTATAATTTGATGGGAGGCCAGTCACCCTTAGCTATCATACCAGAGTATTTGCTGGCCAAGTTTCCCCGAAAATCGGTTATTTTAGGGAACAGCTACGCTGAAATACTGTCCAACACAACGCGATAATAGAGTACAGATAATAGAGTGCACCACGCGCAGCACTTGTACTTGTGCGCCGCCCCTTCTTGAGGTAAAAAGGATAGTAAGTATAGCATCATGTTATACCTGTTGCATAAGACTTGATGGTTTCCATCGCCAGCCGCCTGTCATTGCTCCATCGCGTTTCCGCGGAGCCTGTTGTTGAGGCTCTGGACTCGGAATCGTCTCCGCTCGGCCACCAGCCGTGCCAAAGGTACATGACATGCACAGCGTCCACCAAAAACAAGGCTGGGACAGAAGAAAACAGCATTAAAAAAGAAAACAGTTATCAAATCAACAGGAAACATTTTCAATCGAGTGTTGACGCTACTGGAAAGCACGCCTTTTCATTGGTCCCCAAAACTCACGTCACTTTCCTCAGCCAATGACAAGCAAACCCCAAAACAAATCGCGACTTCCTCAATCACATTTTCCCGCGTTTAAAGCCGTCTTTTATTTCTGAACTTTTCATTGGCTCCTTTTGATATTACCTTCATTCTGATTGTCTCCTTCAAGCAATTTGTTTTGGTTTTACGACACATTCGTAAAATGCGTCAGACTGATCCGTGTAGGGCTAAAACAAACAGTGTTTCGTTTAAATTTCAACTTGCACTCCTTCTAATTTTTGTTTTCGATTCATCAAATCACTTTTCAAAGTTCACCTAAACTCTACACGCACAAATATTTTGTTTCTGTTTTAGTAAAGGTTTTATTACTTGCAAAATTGTGTGTCAAAATTGTATTGTACACTCCTTTTGACAAAAGATCCATCATCCCTTTTACCTGGTTGATCCGTTGAGTACAGTTGTGTCTGAAGAATCGGGTAAGGTGTGATGTGATCAGATCTGGCCGGGTTTAACACTTCAACAGCTTCAAACGAACCACTTGAGCTCTTCAGGTGGAAAACACGCATCGTATAGTCATGTTTCTTCGAATCTGTTACACAAAACGAAAGGATGTTATATATACTCAGTTCTGAATTACTAGGATTACCAAGCAGCAGTTTGAATAAAGCCGCGCTACTGGAGAAGGTACCAGTGACCAGCATCTAACTTCTCCCAATAATATCACCCCTGAATCAAACATTAACGCAACGAGAATAAAAAAAAAATGATCACAAACTGAAGAAGCTCTTGATTGTTAGACAAATTCTCCTCGTCAGCACCTTAAGAAATGTATAGAGAACAGTATGGAGAATATGCACACTGATGTTAGGGTGTAAAGAGTAACAAACCTTCAAGAAGTGAAACAAAGCCTGTCTTTCCACCGAGAACATTCCAAAAATCTTTGCTCTCCTCCCCTTCGGAAACTTCCTTTGCTTTAAAGTCCTTGGAATATTGCTGGCTGAACCTAAAAGATTAGAGTGGAAAATACTGAAAATTTATGAAACGATAACATCAGTAAACATTCGCTTTGACGAAAGGCAGAGAGCAGGGCCGGACCTGGTGTCACATGTGGGTTGAGTTTGTTGTTGGTTCTCGTCCTTGCTCCGAGGGTTTTTCTCCAGGTCCTCTGGTTTTCCTCCCTCCGCAAAAACCAACATTCCAAATTCCAATTCGATCAGGAAACAGTGGACAAGAAGAACCACCCAGTGGAATGTCCATTGCTAAATTATCTATTTATTTATTTAGTAAGTAAGTAAGTAAGGACTTTATTTATAGAGGGGAACACGTAACAGCTGTATAGCTGACAAACCTGTGGCCCTCTAACTAGATTATACAGCATTATAAAAAAACTGATAAATAAATAAATATATAAATAATTACAAAATTCTATAATAGAAATAGCAGGAAAGATTAAAAATATTCAGAAAGATAAAATTAATTTATAAAAAATTAAAATTAGATAATGTGCTATTGCTTAATATTGTTTCAAAGTTATTATTTATTTATAATTGCGGAAACGTCAGCTTCAGAAAATCTTTGTGTTGGCCAGTTTACATTATCAACTCAATTGATAAAACCAAATTATCTTGTAATACCCGACAGCGACGCAGCACCACAGTTTCTTTAGAAACTTATCTCCTTTTTACACCATTAACAGATGTCTTTCTCAAAGCTAAAAATTTCCGTTCTTAAAAATTCATCACTACACTTAGGATAGCCGAAAAAAAATTCGTCTAGTTTCTCTCATTGACTATTCCTTCCTGAAATTCTCAACATGTCTGCTTGTTTTACCAACCATTTCTTTAGTCTCTTTGCGGCGGTTACAGCCACTTGTTTCGTGGTTGCCGGGGATTGACAGCCGTGCCAGGCATGCAGGATTGTTTTATTGTTGTCCGCTACAATGAATGATGTTCGCGATCTCAGGCAAGATGAACTAAGGGTAAAAACAGAGAATAAAAAATCGATTAGCAAATCAATATAAAGTTTTATTTAAGTAACCCGGAAATCCATTGGTTCTACTTCACTACACCATTTGAGTGGTCTAAAAGTAACACAACCCTTGCTCAACCAATCACATGCAAAATCAATACCAATCACGTTTTGGGTCACATGAGTTTTCCCGCGCTTAAGACGGATAGCCTACGAGCAGGGCCCTCGTTTTAAGCGCTTCAACCTGAGCGTTTCTTCGCCTGCTGGAAAGTAAAAGGCCTTGAGAGCAACGCGAGCCGTGAGGTTTGCAAGGGTTTTTGGCACTGAAAATTATTGGTACCAGACCCCCGGCAAAACTCTCCCCGACTTGTCTCAAATCTTCCCAGATGGGAAACCCGCGTCCTGCAGAGCTAACAATAGAGAGATTTAACACCGCATTTACGTGAAACGGCAAACGTCAGCTTGCCCTTTCACGTTTCACGTGAAATAGCGAGAACCTTACTGCTTTAACTTTGCGTGGATTTGAAGGCACCCTTGTTTGACTTACAAGGAGTAGTTTTGGTGCCCTGTTTCCGGCAATCAACTTCTACTCTGTGAGAGAGAAAAAAATGAAGAAATCTTTCGTACACCGCATACGGCAAACTTGAAAAAATAGCGGGGAAAACAAGGTCACGTGGTCACTCTTGCCCTTCAAACTACACGTAAACACGATGCTAAATCTCTTTAATGAGAGCCTGGTCGCAGGCTACGAGGCAGACTGCTTGTTTGCCTCCAAGTCCACTCAATCGCAAATTTAAAAAAATTGAAATTGTGCCTGCCAAATGATCTTACCTTGCTGGTATCTGTAATAAATAAGATTCTTCAGGTTCTTCATTTCGGACAAAGAATAGCGCGCCATTATCTTAAGAGATCAAAATGAAAGGAACATGTTTATTATCATATTTATTTATCATACATGGCGTACATTAAAAATTTTGCAACTCAGGAGCGGCGCTTGTTCTTTGGCAGTCGGTGCAAGTAACTGCGCTATTCATAAGGCAGTTTGCAATTTTGTGTCTTATTAGCAAACTAAATAATCGACAACCATTGATCCTTAAAAGAAACTATTTGCCAGAGAAAACAACGTCAAGTGTGTAAACTCATACCTGTCTCTTCCAGAGAATCTTTCCTGTACAATAAAATAAAAAGAAATTTGTGTCAAATTTCTGGAAATCGGATAAAGACAAACTTTGTTTGTGCGTATTTCCGAAATACCAAGCCGAGCATAAATTTTTGTTTGAGAGATTTTAAAGATACTTACTTTCCTAAGTGAACAACCATTTTTCCGTCGAACAATCTGGTAAAACAAGGGGGTTCCTTTCCTTGCGCGACTAGAACCTGGAAGACAATCAATCTTTAATTAGCTCATTTTCCTTTTCTGACCTTTTTTTTTGACGAAGCGCTTCAAAATTGGTGAGCAAGTAGGCTAGAAAGCATCTTCAGTTTAGATATCATGTTCTCAACCCCTCAAATGCAAAACTGAAACCAATCGTAACTCGGTTCACGCGTTTTCCCGCGCTTCAAGCCTGTCCACGTGGTCAAACTTTGATTTGTGATTGGCTACTTCGTACTTTGCTTTTTTCTGATTGGCGGTTCGAATTGCGTTGAATACTAGAAGGGGGTACGGTACCTGGGGCCCTTTATCGGAGTCAAGCTCGACAGTCATAAGCGCGGCAGTTCCTTTCTCATTCAGTGTACAGTCATTTCCTTGCCAGAAGAAGTACACCACCTTATCCCGACCAACATCCTCATAGCGAGACTGCTTTCCCTTCAGCGATTTTACGCCTGTCAGCTTGACACAGTACTTCCACCTGACTACGTAACCTAGCAACGGAAGATTGCATTCAGCGATATGGTAAACAATGTGAGTTTTGGCTGATAGTTTCGAAAGAAACTGTTTGG